ATGCAAACAAAATTTAACGAGATGATCATTCATGGCATTGGCCTGCGAACAATCTTGAACTGACAATTGAAACATTTGCCATTTTTCAGGGAGCCAGGTCGTCAGCCCAAGGGCAAAAGGCTTGGTTTTTTAGGTTCTGTTTTGCTTCACCCGATGTCTCAATTTCAATGATAGTTATTGCCTATTACTGTATTTTCATTATTTATACAAGGTTGTAGTTTCATCTGATACGTATATGTACAAGCTTCCATTGCCCCACCATACTTCATTCGACATCTTCGATGTCATTGATATATACAGAAATGCTTATAGCGATCCAAAAGAATCTTTCCGTTCATCTACAGGTAACAATCGAGACATCTCCAAATTTCTGAGCCCAGACTCAAAACATCGAAATCTAAATTTCGATGTTCAGACTTCCTTCCTATCACGCTTCCTCCACTCCCTTACTGTCAGAATCCTCCTTGGCATTCCCTCTCTTATCCATGGTTTTCTCCTGACCCTTTAATGTTTGCCAGCGCATGAAATAGCAGCAGAAGGGGAAGAGGAGAGTGTTGATTGCGACCCAGGCGAATAGGACGCCGAAGTTGAGACCGATGCGGGAGTAGAGATCGAAGAGGAGTTGACGACTGGCTTCGACGACTGGGGTGGGGTGGGATTGTTAGTTATGGGTTGCTTGGATTGGTCGTGATGTTTGATATGCATAAGGGGCTTGGATTGCTAGGAAAGAAGAGGGTTGTTTGAAGAGATTTAATGTTCTGAAGGCTTTCAATACTACCATGAAAGGAATCATGGAAATGAATTCGGTGATTAAGTAAATTCAATGTGTTGGAAAACACAATCGAACACTCTAATTGTCCCTCCCTCCCACTGACCAAAGACAAAAACAAAGAATTCAACTTACTATTGTGCAACGGCCAAGCATACCCCCAATAGAAGAATTTCGGCGCCAAATCAATCGAATAAAAGCTCGTCGAAACATTTGTGATGACCCAGAACACCAACCAAAGCGCAGTCCACGGCTGTCCGATAATCATAGTCACATTCTCACAGGCAATACCCAACGCGCCCATACCTACCCAGTTGAGCATCCAGAAAACCACAAATGTGCCTTTTCCATAGGCCGTGGCGCTTTCGACTGACGTTATAGATTTGTGGCCGGTTGAGAAGGGGATCTGGAAGGCGAGGGAGAGCAGGGAGTAGAAGAGGGAGAGGAAGAAGTAGGCGGCAACAGTGGCGAACCAGCGCCAGATAACCATTTGGTAGAAGTGGAGGGGTCGATGGCCTTGGGGGGTTATGTATTTTGTGTGGACAGGGAGGTAGAAGGAGAAGGAAAAGAAAGAGATGATGATTAAATAAATGAGACCGATGCTGACCGCTGGCGTAGCGACAGGTGGGGTGAAAGGTCGCAGATTGAAAGTCGAGAAACCGATAGCGGGCGAGATTGCCTGGGGACTATTTCGTATATTTGACAAGATGGCCGGATTGGCAGCCGCTTGATCCGCTACTTGCGCAGCCCATTGCTGGCCAAACATGGCGGTCACAGAGGACTGGAATTGGAGTAGCTGTGGGGTCACATAGTTGGCGTAGGTCGTTTCGTCTCGTGCTTGTACGTAGACTATTTGTGCAATTCCCTTGGGATCAAAAGTCGAGTTGCCGTTTTGGACGGCATCTTGCAGGAGGGCTGTTGCGTTTGCATTGATTATTACTGCCTGGGTGTTGTTAGTATGGAACAATCGTAAGCACTTCGAAAAGTCTATATTGTTCCGAAGGAGTCCAATGTGTCTAATCTTCAGTCTGGACTACAGCCTGATGGGACCATTGCATTCTCCAAGATCACCTGAAATGTTCAGTGCCACTCCAATAACCTAAATGGCTTCAACATTCAAGCTTCTCACATTGTTGACCTGCAATCCAAAGACCGAACACACCGCGCCAAACCAGAAAATAAAGAAACCACACAACTCACAGCCCAAGCTCCAAACTCCCAAACCCTCCTTCTAACCTCCATTGGATCATATCCAAAATCACTAGCCGGTAAACTTCCCCACCCCAGCGCACCTTTAGGAGCAATAAGTGCCTCGGCAGCCTTCACAATCTCGGGTCCAACAATTGGAGTTGTGTCTGTGTAAGGTGCAACTTGTGCATCGAAATCTACTACCCAGACTACTAGCGACGAGAGGTTTTTCTCAACGTGGAAAAGGACACTCCAGTAAATAGAAAGAATGGATAGGATTGCTATGGAGAGGATGACGGCTAAATTGTGTTAGTGAGAGGGAGCAAGATATCAGACCACACGTTGTCAAAAAGCACAGCGATACGGAACTTGAATCTATAGCAAAGCAGAGTAGACGCAATCATCCACCACTATTTTCGCAAAGACTTTCAGATAACCAAGATCCTGTACCCATCCTGAGTTCTCATGTGATTGAACTACAATCTAGCAATCGAAAACCCGCATACCCAATTTCTACGCATCCAACAAACATACTCAAGGACCTAGAACTAGAAGAAACATACTCGTAATAATCCATTTCTTGATAACATGTTTCCTCGTCGCGTTCAAATCACGATGCCAAAATCCCACCGGACGAGTATCTTGCTCCTCTTCATCATTCCCCATTTTGGGCTTTGATGTTCTGGAATCTTGGTTATCTGTTCCAAAATGAGGGTTGGATGCGGGATATCGATGTTGAATATATGTAGAGGTTCTTGATAATAATACAGGTGAGATTTTCAAAGGAGTTTACTATTGTCGCTAGAAATTAAGAATACAAAAATCTCACATCGCCTCCTGGAGATTGGAAATGGCTAGAATCATATCAAAACTTTGCAATCTAGAAGGAAATCCAACATGATCGATCATGCTTGGCAGGCATTGTTAGGAGAACTTCCCCAATACGACACTTATCTAAGAAGCCAATAAACGATCTTCAAAAATACAATTGGTGTAGAGTCTCGATATCGAAGCGATCGGATTCTCATCAGAAAGATACAATTATCAATGATGTCACTATATAGTTGATGTGATGTGATGGACGTGCGAGTGATCCTTGACCTTTGTTTGTTCCATGGAATATGTCATCGAAGGAGAGCGGTTAATAAGTGGTTCGGCATGGAACAATTGTCATCAATCGAATGAATCGTTTTGTTATTGACATTGACATCAAAATCATTGGATTTGGATTTGGATATGGCAATCCCGCATGACTTCAACGTCGCATCCGAGATTACTCCAGAGGACGTTGAGATCTGGTTTCTAGAAAAAAAAAAGGCGCTGAACCATTAAGAGGCTAGAGATTGTCTGTTATTCAAACTTGAATTTTGGAGTTCAGAAGAAAAGATCCTTCCAGACTCCGAAGACATCTTGAATGGTGGAGGGTGGAGTGTGTGTAGGTATCGCACTGGTGTTCGGCTATTCCTCCTAGTCGCGAGGGGGTACCAAGCTTTTCTATCCGATCCGCAATCAAGCTCTTGATCGTGATTCCGTTGCCAAGAACATGCATTACCTACCTATGGTAGGCACAAATTTTGTAGGACGATTCGTCATCTCAAAGGGTTGAAAATGAAGATGGGACGAGATGTTACACTCGTTGACGGTTGTTATACCATACTTTTGTGACCATCCGATGTGAACCTAAGGTCCTTTGATGGTTCATGCAATGTTAAACGGTTAATCTTTGATTTTTGGCTATCGTCCACTACCTAACAAACATCGATCTGATATGAGACATGGAAATCATCAATATCTCCACTAGATCCTAGCTTATGAGATATTATCATCCAGATTGACAGAAAGATTAGATTGTAATCAATTTAACTTTATTTTCCCGCTTGTTAGTGACGATGCAGGGTAAAGAAGGGATGATTGACCAACATGATGTACATGTTAAAGATATGGATGTGCCATCAATACTTCAGATAGATTACGGGTACTGCCCTACCCATATTACAACCCAAAGTAGACGCGAACGAGTTTCATTACCAGTTGCATCTGAACTCTGCGACATCGTCATGTCAGATAAAAGGCAAGGCATAGTGTGAAAGCTTGCAAAGATATTGAGGAAGGTCACGTGTGATTACCCCAGACAGGGTTTGGAGACATCGCTTGGAATCAGATCGAACATCTGCGACAAGCCTCGTCCCATATCTACGCCATCATATCAATTTATCCAATCACGAATATTTCTTGAAGCTTGATATCTTGATGCGATGAGACGGTTAGAGGACTATCATGCTTTCGATGTCCCAGCTTTTGACGGCGGTTGACTTGACGCGAATGTCCTGTCATCATTCATCTCATCTTCTTCAGATATGTCAGATTTGGACCCTGAATGGTTGTCAAAACGGCCGTTGAATGGCCCCGTATCATCACCTGAGACTGCTGGTGAAAAAATCTGAGTGTCAAGGGAGCTATTTACCATGCAAGAACCAACTTCATCTCATGTACCATGGCCAATCCGGATAGCCACCGATACATCTTCTAGACTTCAGACTTACGTTCGATATACTAAAACGTATTAGTCCAGTGCTCAAAGATTCTTTCATAGCACTTGCTTCGACAAGCAGGATTCATCAGATGAAAATTAAATCCTTGACCATGTTCTTCTCCCTGTGTGGTCTACGAATTATTTCAGAAATCCACAAGTGTGGAAACTCCGGGTAATAGGGAGGAAGCATGCGACCTCGTCCACGTCGTCTAGATCTTATTGAGATACTGAAGCGTTAATGATTCAAGATATAAGATCTACCAAGTCGCCAAGTGAATGACTTTTTTTCCTCATCACCTTCGCAGCCTTTCTTTCAGCTCTATCTACATTCTCTTTTTGTTCAGTTCTGAGAACTTTGACTCTTATACATTCTTTAAATCTTAACTTTTACAATAACTTTACATTCAACTTAGGCCGGTCCTTCCTTTTACACTTACTTTAGTCTATTGCCATCCTTCTACAAGTTGAAATTTTTCATCGCTATAAACTTTCATCACCAATATCATCATCATGAAGTACGAAACCGCAACCATTTTGATCGCCGTTCTCGGCCTGGTATCTGCTGCTCCCATTGCAGAACCAAAGAATACATTCACTCTTCCATCCATACCAAAGCGAATGCTAAGAGGACGTGAGGTTCCTCAAGAACATTCCCACAATCGATTCCTCGATGGTGTTCGTGTCAATCTAAACATCAACAATCCAAACAAGATCCAAGATCCAGTCTTTGGTCTTTTGGGTAATGCTGCAGCCATGAAAGGAGCTGGAACAATTACCAATCCCGATTGTCTTCACCAAGCTACCGCTGATCAAGCTTTCACCAATGCAAAGGCGGCTAATAATGTCACCGGTATGGCTGATGCATTAATGTATGCAGCACTTGAAAGAAATACAGCATCAGTTGGTGTTGCATCTGTCATTTGCAACGAAACTGCCGTCAATCCCGAGATTCAAGCCGTTCAACAACATCAAGATCCAGCCTCACCAAACGCTGCCGCTACCAATAAAGCTATTGTTCTTTCACTCGCTAAACAACTTGCTTCCATTGGGGCAGATCCTCAAGAAGCTCTTCTTTCGGGTACATTCGCACCAGGAACTATCGGCGATCCAACTGCTGCTGGCAATACTTGTGACGACGAAGCCGATTCATCTGGTTGTATCTTCACAAAAAATCTTATCGTTAACGATGCCACTGCCGATGAAATCACCGCAGCTGTCGCAGGAGTTTCGGCAAATTCAACTTCTACCGCTACTATCAGTTCTATCTCCTCGAGTAACTCAACTTCAAACTCTACAGGTAGCGAATGTGCTGCCGCAGTAACAAGTACAATTACCGCCGTCGCCGCTGCAGCATCTACTGGAACCAGTGCCACAGGAACAAATGTTCAAACTTTCACCGGAACACTAGGTGGAGCACCTCCCCCAGTTGTTTCCTCTGCAGGCGATCGTCCTTTCTCGGTTAACGGAGATTCATTTGTGGGTGAAGGAGCAGCACTTCAAAGAAGTTGTAGCGTACAACATAATGCCTGTGCGAGTGCTGCTAATAGTGGAAGTATCGCGGGTGGAGTGGCACAATGTGAAACGCAAGAGACGGCTTGTAATGCTGCATCCGGAGTGTCGAAGAAAATAAGACGACAGGCTATGATGTTTTAGATGAAATATGGAGCTAGCTTGAGTTATTAATACTGGTGGATGGGGTGGTGTGATGGTGGATATGTACATGATATGATGTAAGAGGAATATTGTGATTGTGAAATCACGGAGATTGTAGGAAAGAATGAAGATGAATGAACATACACGAGATGATATGATATGGGAAGAGCGAAAGGAAGGTTGACAAGTTGTGCGGCGTTCAATCTGTAAGGATATAGGTATAAGAATATACAATTTATACCAAACAAACACTTTTGAGATTCTGTTGACAAATTATCTAACACCTCCCGAGTTTGATGTCATTACATGGAGGAGATATACTTTTCGTTGGAGAAAAAACAGGCCGCAATTGATCACTGGTAAAGCCCTTTAACAATCTAATTGTTTTATTTCAATTTAGAGAATTGAATGTTTAGATAATTTCATGAAACAATAATTGTTCAAGGTTTTATTCCATGTTATTAACTTTTGTAATTTTATTATCGATTGATTTATTATAGAATTTATTAGGGCGATTAATTTTGGCCTCTTTTTTCTCCCAAGTAGAGATATATTCAGGAGATCGAATTGTCCACAGGGATGTTGAAGATTAGATTTGACCGAATCATTTGTAAATAGAAATTTATGATATCATTATACATATACTAATTTTGAAAGAGTGAAATATACACAGAATAGCAGAATCTTCAAATCATTATACAACAGCGCACCACCTAAACGTACCGCTGTGTATCAAAAAATATATGGTATCACCGCATCTCAACCTATTCATCCAACTCCTTTTCAAGTCCAGTCCTCAACATACTAGTTTTCGTTTCGCTCGTCCAGAATTGCCGTCTCATCACTGTGCTCAATTAAACACTTCCACTGCTTCCCTCACTCCCCTCCTTTTTTCTCCCCAAACTCTCGACTGCACCAAGATGCAATTCCTTGGCAATTCCACTTCTTGCGTTGTTTCCTGAGTTTGGAACTACCTCGGGATTTTGGGCATGTCCATAACCTGTTCCTGCTCCCTCAATTGTAACTTGTCTTTGAATTGGACCACCTTGTTCATAAACTGCCGTGTTTGCATCGACAGTATCGAAATGGATTGGTACAGTTTCATGTGCGAGGAAAAGATACCAGTATACACCACCGCAGAAGACGCCACCGCCGATGATGTTACCGAGGAGGGATGGGATCAATGATTTCCAGATGTAGTAGTTTACTGTAAGGGGAGCAGGTGCTCCAAGGAAGATGGCGAGGGGAATGAAGTACACTGTGAGTGGTGACGCGTTAGTGGCTTGGACTAGTAGGGCTGGTGCCAATGACTTGGCAGGGGAATCATGCTTGGCGCCTGATTCACTTGCAAATATGCGAGATTTCATACACGAAAAGAAAATGGAAAGAAAATGATAAGGAAGCGGAGTACGAACTATTAGCAATAACGTGATCAGTTCCCAAACCGACGAAGCACATCACAGGAAACCAGATAGCGACGATTTTGGAGAGAACTTCGCGGGACGAGATGGCGAGAAATACGGCCATACAGACGAGCCAATTGCCTGTGTAATATCGTAAGTAGAGATCCTCAAAGCATTGTTCATGTTCGTGTGGAATCGAAATGTTACACCGGAGAGGACAAACGTACACATAATTGCCTTGAGGAAAATTTGATGCCATTCTGGGGTAACTGCTTTTCCCTTTGCAAATGAGAGAGCTTCCGCTTTGTATGCTCCAGTTTCGAATGTGCCGCCATCTAATTGTCTATTAGCATCCGATAACCCACGGTTCCGATCGAACAAAGTTGAGCACGAATACTTACAACCAGTAAGGACAGCCATGAAAAACAAAGCTCCCGCCAAATTTCCGAAGAAACTGACAACCCAAGTCTTCAACAAATCCAAAAAGCTACAACGTCTATGCAATAAAGCGACCACACTGTACATGCAATAACTTGTGAACAAATCGGCTCCCGTAAGGACAACCATGATCAATCCAACAGGGAAGACCATCGCAGAGATGGTACGGATAAGACCTGGAGCATTTGTTTGAAACCATGGGGAAGAATTGGTGGAGAGAGAAAGAGCGCATCCAAAAGAAATGAGACATCCTCCCATGAAAGAGTTGATGAACATTTTGTCAATTCTCATACGGGCTTTTTTGGCACCGATGCGCGAGACGAGCTCGGTCGTCTATCGTTGCGAAACATGTTAGTTGAGAATGTGTGAAGCTCTGAAACGTGTATAAACTTGCCTGTGCTGGAGTAAAGGCGTCCATGGCTTGAAAATGTGACGAAAATAGCTTGTCAAGATGTGATGTGCCGAAACCAAAGTCAAAGGAAAAAGAAAGTTTTGTTTTAAGAGAGAATAAAACAATAAGAAAGAAGACGGCCAAGACATTTTGAATAACGGTTACCCGTCAGAAATGATTTGGAGATCTCGCCTCGCGGTAACCATTATTGTGAGATAAGACAAGGACCCATATCAAATTTCTCAAAAGTGTACAGGGCTAAAAGTCCTTAAGAGGCACAGTACATTTTGACGGTAATGATTATGAGCTTAGTCCCACAATTACCCCAGTAGAGAGAAACATCATTCGTTGAAAGTCTTGCCGATGGTAAAATACCCTAGTAACAGCTGCGGAGAACCATGCAGATATATTTCCTCAATTGACATTGGCTGTAATGGATATTTTCATTGAGCGCTAAGTATCTTTAAGTAACATTGAGTCCTCTCGAAGAATAAAGTAAGAAACAGATGGGTGTCATTTTGAAGCAATTTTTCCCGAGAAAACTCGCTAACGATGAAGGAGGTGAAAACTTAGATAAGAAATAGTGCGGGGGGAGACGACTATGGCAGTTTAGCGCTGACTATACTGGCGTAAATGATTCAGAGAAAGCGATCAAAAAACTGAAAAAATCATGCAACCAAACCGAACTTCTGTTTCTGTAAAAACCATGCGTCAAACACCCCTGGGTATTGGACCTTGGTCCATCAACTTGTGGGGCGGGAAGACATGATCCCTCTCCGGTACCTCCGCTTATCCGCCCCCGTCACTTTGCTTGTCGAAGTTCCCACTCGCATAGCCGGATTGAACGATGTACATGACACCAATTTCGACTCCTATCTATTCAAAATTTGAAAGAATCCACTGAAATCCAAAGAAAACGCGCATGCGGCTCACAGTTCATGTGTTCAACTGACTGCAATGCATGAAGATCCCCTGAGATTTTCATTTGTTGGTATCCGACAGTCAAAATCACTTGTCGGGTTCGCATTTCGATTTTGCCCTTGCACCAGTCCTTGCTGTCTATCATATAGTGGTGGAAATCGGTCGTCTATCCATATGAAGTAATTGCTTACCTGTCATGCAGAAACTTGCTGCTGGAAATCCCAACGGGCCGGATATAACTGCCGTGTCCCTCTCGTAATCCAATACAGTCCTTGACATGAATCCACACCGGCGATTCGTCTTGCAAGTTGCCACCTCAGACCACTCAAGCATATTTAAATTATTGGGAAGCTGGCAGGTCCTCGGTAGGATAAAGCAAATTGGAGCTGGCTGCATATCGGACATTCATTTCTCAAAATATATAAGTTCCGAGATTCGTGGGCATCGGTGAGAGAACAATGCGTGTGGATATTGAGTGAATCGTTTCGTAATCCTTTGATTTCGTCGAGGTAGGTAGGCATATAGCCTTGTCCAAACCGACGAATCGCAATCTACGCACAAAGCACACAGCGCACAACAAGATAATCGCCAGATTGGGTCAGGACATCGACCAGGTAAAAGTGTCCAGGCTTCGAAATTATTTGGTAGAAAGCTTTGGAGAAAGTGTCGGATCGGCAATTGAACAGGCTCGCGGATCGCAATGAAAGATTCGATAATGTGCGGATCGAATGGATATATATCAAGTTTCAATCTGGAAGGAATCATGAGAATCCTGAAGGTGCTATTGAGTTATCAGTATCGTCGTCATTCTCTGCGCATCTATGTATGGATTGTCAGTGATAATCTTTGAAGCTACTCGAGTGTGCTTCGCACAGCAAACGATGTATGAAGCTGGCAGATAGTCTGAGATCTCAACACCCACAAACCTTGATACTTTCATACTTTTCATGCAATTCTCAGCAAACGAGTACTCATTGTCTCTTGGAAAAACTGGTTTTCTGGATTTGCTTCGATTCTTATGTTTTATTTGTTTAAAAAATTCGAAATGAGATTATCTTGGTGATTTGACGACAATACCGAATCCCGAATACCGAACTTCTTAGGGGAAGCTTGGGCCGTCAATACCAAGAGTCGATACTGTTGATACCTCAGAATACCTCGATATCACCCAGTTGAGTTGATTTCACTTGACCTCTACAATATCATGCGGGTATATTGTACAAATCTATCCGTCGTGGTTAGGTCTTGAAGAGTATTGCCATCAACCCAGCTTTGATAGGGAATGGAACATTTATGTATGGCCTAACCCTTCCCTTCACTACTGGGGACATGATTTTGATTATCACTGGTTTACAGCAATTTGGGATAAGATAGGCACTTTCAATATTGAGAAGAATCGTTCGCGTTGAATATCTAGAACTAAAGTTCTCAAGTGCTGACAGATATGAACTTCATCTCGTCAGATCCATTAACCAGATTAGCACTTCAACATGTTCGAAGCTGCCATCCAAATGTTAGGTTTGGGTAGGTTTACTTGGGAAGTAGCGACACCACACAAATCATGGTACCTACTTCATTTCATATGAATGATACTGTATATTCTTCATCCTTCAAGTTATTTAATTGCGCGTTAGCACAATCAACCCCGAGTACAATTGCTTAAGCATTCAATAGAGAGATTGATATAATCGACCTCCGAGTGCATCTTTACCTCTTCATATCTAACCTAGCATTGGTATAACAAACTTTGGACGCAACAAACTGATATCCTTGACTGTCAGAATTCAACTGATCAACATCTCAAACATCGATCATACTTCTGAAGATTGAATTCGAATTGCAATGGATACAGCCGCCGAACAAACGAACGAACAACCCCCGGAGGTGAGAAAAGACTCAAAAGTTGACACAGATGATATTAAGACAGAAGAATCCACACTTCCAGAGGGTTATGTATATCCGGACGGATCTGTGACCATTCCTCGAAAAACCGGGACTTATCATACCCGTTCTGTCATTCTTCTTCATGACGTCTTTAATAGTGCCGAGGGCTGGGCTGAAGAATTCATGGGAGCAAGACTGAATGGTGAAACCATTATGTCCATCTTTCCTGGAACAAATTGGTGCTTTCCTGATATTGATTATCCCTGGTTAGTGCAGGATATAGAGAGCGAAACGACTGATGACATGGTCGATTTATGGAGTGCATTTTCAGCCACCGATCAAGAGGGAGAGCGATTAAAGATACTCGGAGCGCTATTTCAGATTCTGAAACCCATCCAACAACTTGTCGAAAGAGAATCAGATCTTGTAGGTATACGAAATGTCTTCATAGGTGGTTTAGCAGATGGCGCTACTGCAGCAATGCATTTGTTTCTAATTAATCAAGTGAACCAAGGTGGTGGAATGGGAGGGTTCATAGGAATGAATGGCGTGCTTCCATTTCAATCGGAGATCAAGCCGTTGATAGATAAGCCGCCAAACTTTGAGGAGTTGTCCCTGGAAGAATATATAGACGAACAGATACAAAACCTTGAGAAAGTGGTGACTTTTATGCGAAATACTTTGGGTCTGCCAGCCGTGGGGACGTTTGATAGGACAATCGCATATCTGGGAAACCCAATTTTCCTTGGTAGTATCATGACACGCCCAGCCGAGTTGGAACTCAGGCAAAAGAGGGAGGATATGATAGAGATCCTTCGCCGCTTGAGATGTTTTCACCCTATATACTTTACAAACGATTTCAAGGAACCAGATCTCGCTGGGCAAGTTGAGAGCTTGGTTGATTACCTCCGAATGACTGGCTCTATCAGAGTTCCTGGATGATTCAAGTAGACGAAATAGAGAGAGAATGGATGAAGATTGGTTTTATCAATAAAGAAAGATTGAGGAATTAATTGGATGTCACTTAGCAAAGCAGATTGGAGACGCTGGACCGGCATTTCCCTGGGAAGGCATCGACGAATTCGAGTTGCGGTTAGTGCGAAAGTATAATAGTATACATCTTACTATCTTTCATTGACAACTTCATTCGTGTATTAATTCTTGTACGTTTCAAGTATATTCCAATTCACCACCACCATCAAATGCACCTTCTCCATGAAAGTTCACGGCAATCATTAGGCGGCGTCCGTACGCCAAGCACTTCCCCACCTTCCATATAAGGTATGAAATATAAGCAGCCAAGACCATGTGCCGAAATGATTTGATGCTTATCAACTTTATCTTCAACTCTAAAGGACAATGCCACTGTCACGAAAAAGGGTCTCCAAGCCTTATGTGTGCCAAGAAGCAGTAAATGGAATCATTGGGGTCAATTGCCTTCTTTGGGAAGCTCAACACCATCTCAAAGATTATGGTTCACAGGCGTGTGGGTGAGATTATGTATGATAGGATAAAGGAAAAATGGGGCTGGGAAAAGGTAAAAGTGATATGAATGGGGTGGAGGAGACGATAAACATGTGAGTGCTGATTAGAAATGCTTCCTTTTGATAAAGACTCCGGAGTGAAAGCAACAGTGTTCGCATGCCGCCGTGCCCAGAAATCTGCCCCAGAAATTAAGATGGGGATATTTTGATATATCCCATTGTTCTAATCAGTATGAATTGGTTATAAAAGACTGGTGTTGCCATCTCATGTTCTTATCTTCATCCTTCTTCTCAATTCAATAATACAAGTATACTCTCACAGTTAAACTTCATCTCATCATGCTTAAAGGTCTTTTCCTCACTGTTCTAGCAACAGGACTTCTCGTCCAAGCAACTCCAGTTCCAGTGCCAGCACCACCCGGAGTACCAACCACAGCTACTGCTAATACCGAGCTTGCTGGTTTGACTGTGGCTGCGGCCGGAAGTCAAGATGGTTATGCGAGAGATTTGTTCCCTACTGTATGTTCCTCTGTTCATTCAATCATCTCCTCATCTCATTCCTTGCATTTCACCGTCCTCTTTCTCTTTACTCAACCTTCTCCAGCCTACTCAAATACCTCCCCAATTTACCCAAAACCCAATCTAACACACTCACCTCTAGTGGAACACTATCTCCGGCACTTGCAATACACGTGAGACCGTTTTGAAGCGCGACGGTAAAAATGTCGTCGTTGACTCCGCCTGTGCTGCCACATCGGGAACCTGGGTTTCTCCATACGATGGTGCAACCTGGACCGCCGCCTCCGATCTCGATATCGACCATCTTGTTCCCTTGAGTAACGCTTGGAAATCAGGTGCTTCCGCGTGGACTACGGCTCAACGCCAGGCTTTTGCTAATGATCTTGTCAACCCGCAATTGTTGGCGGTTACCGACAATGTCAATGAGAGTAAGGGAGACCGTGGACCGGAGGAGTTCAAGCCTTCTTTGAGTAAGTCCCTTTCTTGTCTTGGTCTTTCGTTTGAGGGGTTGTTTCCGTTGTCGTCTTATCAGACACGCATGGATTCGGAGCTACATAGAAGAAAAAAGCGGAGAGAGAAGCGGGATATAGATGAACGGAAGTATACTAACTGGTTCAATAGCTTCATACTGGTGCACATATGCAAAAATGTGGATCAAGGTTAAATCTGTCTATAAACTTACGGTTACAAGTGCGGAGAAGGCGGCATTGGTTACTATGATGGCTACTTGTTAAACATTTTTCGGCTAAATGAAGGGGTAAATGTATATATGTGAACGAACTTGAGATGATTTACGATGGAATGAAATGAGAGTAGTAAGGCAGAATCTAAGGAATTGAAGTTGCAGTGGGAGGGAGCGGAAGTGAAATGATTTAAGATGGCTGACGGCAGAGGAGTTATGGTGTTCATGTTCAATTTATTTCCCGCAGAGGTCTGACTGATGGAAGACATGAGGAGTGAAAAATTACACGGAATTTGTAGAAATCGTGACAATTTTACCCAAGAATTATGGTCCAATGAATTATTGAGATGGGTAACTACCCGTAGTATAAGATGCGATCTCTCCATGAAAAAATCCTTGCTTCGTAATAAAATATTGATATATTGCTTTTTGCTAAAAAATACATGTTTTCATCATCATTATCAACCTTCATTAAACATTCCATTCATTCCTTATTTCTTATACGTTGTAAGACTTGGACTTCCCGGAGCAGCTGGTGCAGAAAACTTCGTCTGCACAAAAACTTTCTGCATTCCATCTTCCTTCTTCTCGAACTTATAGTAGACATCGTCAAGTTCATCCAATGAGACCCGATGAGATACCATTTGCAAAGGATCAACTTCATTCTTCTCAATCATTTCAAGAAGTTTTTCCCAATACATATGTACTGGAGCTTGTCCATTGCCAATAAGTCGGATACCGCGTTCCATCAAAGATCCGATGTTGAAGTGGTTAGTGTACCCGACGTAAACGCCGGTAATACCACATCGACCGTAGCTCTTAACGGATGTGATCATTTCGTTGACAATCTCGGATGTGTCTGTTTCCATGCCGAGCATCATCTCGAAGTAGTGGGCCCAGCCTTTGGCATATTCGCCTGCTACGCACTCGAGTGCGACATCGGGTCCTCGTGGAACCATCTCCTTTAGCTTGGAGGTGACAGAGGTTCCCCGAGGAAGTTTACTATAATCGAGGAGTTCGACCTTGGGGATTTTAGACTTGACAAAGTCTAATCTCCAGTTGCTATCGATCATGATGACTCGTGATGCACCGTTCATGAAAGCAAATTCTGCACACATTTGTCCAATTGGGCCTAGATATGGTTAGAATGATTGACTGATTGGTTGATAATAAATACTTACCAGCACCCCAAATAGCAACCACGTCTCCCTTTTCGACTCCGGTGTCTACAACACAGTTCCAAGATGTACAGATGACATCCGACAAGAAGAGACCCTTCTCATCTGGAACATTTGATGGAAGCTTGAGAAGATTGACATCCCCTAATGGAACTCTAACATATTCTGCTTGACCACCTGCAAATCCACCAGTGAAATGAGAGTAGCCAAACATTCCTGCTGTTCTTCCTCCATACTATTGAAGTTAGCACCTGATATCCTTCCAACGATCAAGATCTGAACATACCATTCCGTTTTCAATAGTATTACTATTCGTCTTTTCACATTGAGATGATTGTTTCTTTTCGCAATAGTAACAATCGCCACAAGCAATCTGGAAACTGGCAACCACACGATCACCCTTCTTTAACCCCTTTACAGCTGGGCCCATAGACTCAACTTCACCACAAAACTCATGACCGAGAATATCTCCCTTCTCTAACTCTATAACCGAGCCATGAAGTAAATGAAGATCGCTTCCACAAACAGTACTTCCGGTAACTTTTAGAATCACATCTCTGTCTTCAACGACTCTTGGTTTGGTACTTCTTCTGTTCATTGAAGAGAGATATTAGATGTGTGATGATTATACTCTTCATTAGAGAAACTTACGCATCTTGACAGTATTTTTCCCCATCCAACATAGAGCTTTCATAGTCTCACCACTTGGATCCGCATACTTTTGACGGTCCCGTGCTGGATTTGTTATATCTTGCTCGGTGACGGCATTGATATCATGACCGACGACTTTCTCGAGGAGAGCTGCTGCTTGACTAAGAGCCATATTGAATTAACTAATTTGATTGGTTATGTTGTAGTTTTCGAAATCAATATGGAAAAGAGAAAATAGATGTTGAAAGTATGGTATTCTTATATCGAAATGTTAAGCGCGGGGAACCACGATCGATAAAGACCTCTACGTCATATCGTTTAGATCGTTAATCTAATCAACGACGTCAGTAGTTTTAGATTGTTCATACCTTGTATATTCTCGTTACATCGATGAAATATACTTGATCTCTTTGCTTTATAAGTGATTTGTAAAATAAAACCTACATATTCCTCTCGTACTGTACGAGATATATATTTGTTTTATTTGTTATTTATGACAACTAATACAAGGATTCAGATGTGAAAGACTCGGTTAAAGATAAACGTGATAATCACGTGCTATTTTCAGTAACATGACACGATATAGTAGTCGCATCGCGCAGTCAACTTGGAAGATCTGATTTTCGTGACATCCATTATATCGATTCTAAAAGTAATAAATCCCACAGTCTCTCGAGCTCGAGATTTCGTCTTGAGGTATTTTCTCGCCGAAATAGGATCAACCACCTCACCACAGCTTACTTTATAAGTCCATAAGGAGAAATGAGAGTAAAGAAAGTTGAGAGTATTCAATCTTTCGCTGGACAATTACTTGGGTCTCCAAATTATCGTTGACTGTATAGCGCAGAGAACAAAACATATTTCTTTTTCCCACATTCTCATACATTCTTCTGATACCATCCTACCTTACATCCATGATACTCACTTCCTGTATCCAAATTGAAGGCACGCAATTCGATACAATCATCATTTCCCCAACTCAGGTCTCTCACTAACAAATAGTCATTATCCCATACCACCCTGCCTTGAAGACAATACCGGAAAATTATGTAATCCGGGATTAATGGAATCGCAATTACTGCTGCAGCTACTTGGTCTGTCAGTTCGTGCTCAGGTACAGGGTGTGATGTAGGATGATTACACTGTAGCTCTTTGATAATTTCCGCCGTCGTCTTTGTGCGCTTGACTGCCATTACGACCTTTTGTCTATCAGATGGATCTCTACTGCACTCCCAAGATCTATCGATCGTAATCGCGTTAGTTGATTTTTGGTAGATACACCGGAATATAGAGGAGATCTTCAGATTAATATAATTGTCAGCAGCCAGTACATTTGTAAGGGGTGAATGTAGAATCAAACCTGGTTCAGCTAAATAAGCACTCCTTGGAAAAGAACAGAACTTGTTTGACTTGACACATTCAAAGCAAGGCTCGACTCCACTGCATGGTGGACCAGAAGGAAAATCACGACTGCAGTGAAGGCATGGTTGCGAGAGAATCAGTTTGGGGGGAATCAGCGGGCCAGGGTTAAGTGTGTGTCCATCTGATATTGGAAGACGAAGATTTCTTTGATCTGTAACACCAGAGTAATTCTAAACCATGGGGCCAAAATTGTAAGGGGCTGGAGGTCTGAAGTTATTGGGAACCAAAGGATTGGGATAGTTTTGAAGCTGAGTACTAGAGTTATTGGGAGGCAGAGGGTTTGAGGACCCGGGAAGTGTAAAATCAGACCTATTGGAATCTGAACGAAGAAATTCTGAAACCCTGGGAAGTCCAGTATCAGACCTATTGAGATCTGGACGACCAAGACTCGGCATCTTGGGAAGTGTAAAATCACACCTATCGGAATCTGAACGAAGCAATTCCGAGACCCTGAGAAGTCCAATATCAGACTTGTTGAAACCTGGAGGACTAAGATCTGAGATCACGGACTTGTAGCATCAGAGTCATTGGAATCTTGTGGACTAGAGCCGATTGAAATTGCGGAATCAAAGGCCATTGTCCGTGATTCTCTTTGGATAGGAGTACGTTATAAGTTATGCCGGCCTGGTAGATGAGAATGTTTTTGATTCATGGTTCCGAAATAATTTAGAGTTGTTTGTATCTGGTTTTTAGAGGTAATAGATTTTCTATTTAAGTTTTGATATTGACATGGAAAGTGCTCATGACGGTTGATATGATGATAGCAAGATAATTGGTGAAATGTCACGAGGTAATCGCGACCAAGTACTTGATTTTCTGGCAAGAATATTTACAACTTCGTAATCCACGCGAGTATGTCAATTGAATTTAAAGGATCGATCAAATCAGTAGTCTATTCAGGAAGCGAAAAGAGGTAGGGGAAAGAGGGGCATGTCATGAGATCCGAATGTTTTTGTTAATTAAGAATTTTGGTCAGTTTCATGATGTTCAAACTCAGCTGGGATGAATGAACACAAACTCAAAGCTTCCTCGACTTACAAATTACAAACTGCGAGTTGAAATTTTTAGGATTTCGACTCTGACTCACCCTAACACCATCTCGTTACAGTCGACTCCATTCAGCTCACCAGCTCGACATTGACTCTCATCGTCCACCCCTTCTTTCCTTCGCTTGCCATACGTTGTCAAAAGGTCCACTACAGACGAATTCAATGCCTTCGTCGTCAAACACCTTAGCATACACTGTTTCTCCCCCATCAAACACGCTTCCGACCAATGCATCTTCACCTATGATCTGTGTTCTGCGAAGAAAAAACTCGAAGTGTAAATTCTCCGGCAATTCGTATTCCCTTGATAATTCATCTATATGAATTTATGATCAGTGTTTAGTTGCTTTAGAGCCTGCTTATATTATAGGTAGATTTACTTACTCTCAAGACCATCGAGGAGATCATGCATGTTTGCTGTCTCAAAGGACTCAAAGTAGCGACTGAATCTATAGAACGCGGCTCAGTAACAACCTTGGTGTGGTCTTTGGATTGAGCCTGCCGCACTTACCCACGACCAGAAGAACAGGATCGATGTAATTGAAAGAACAATATATCTCCACCTTCACGATATCCCTTACCATGCCATTGAGGCCTACGAAGTCGAGCGCGTGTGTCTTTTGGATATCGAGGATTTGGTCTGAAGTGTCGACTAGATGTGCGTGCTCCATACATCTTGGAATGCTTTGATAAAATTTGGTACAGGATTTATTGTACTTAAGTTTGAAGAGGAGGAGAAACTTTATCTGAACTGGGAGGAGACCTTCGACTTATATTGCAAAGCATACCGATTGAAATGGAACCTGTTGGGGTTGCAGACTGCAAAAAAGGAATCCATGTAAGTCAATGCAAAGAACTGCTCGGTTCCAAAGATGGTTGCTTTCGATTAAATGATGCATCGCTTGATTTAACACATCTTTCTTCCTTGAAATTCCTCGGATTCTCCGTCTCTTTCATTCTCATGGATAGAAATTACTAGCAGCAGCTTCTTCTTCAAGTGAACATCGCCAGCAACTGAATTTGATCAAAGTTAATGATCTTTCAATAACATCCATATTCCATTGTTTGTAGCTTGGATCCGGCATTCGGTTTTTTTGTGCCGAGAAGCGCTTACCTTAGAGGGAATGGGGGGTTAGAGCTTCTGCACTACATCCATATTGCATCCAATTGAATTGTTGTATTCAAAGTCATATTTTGCATCCAATTTAAAAATTTAAATCCATTGTATACTAGATTAAAAGGTATATCTAATTCACTTTTCAAATTGAAAATGAAATGACCCCAATTGAATATATTGAATTAGATGTACTTCAGATTTAAGATTGAATCTCTATACATTCAATTATAGCTTTTAAATTGACAAAAGTTTGATACTACTTCACCTCCTACAATCCAATTGCCATACAATATTCGTAAGACAATATATAAAATTTATATCAAACTAATAACGCTTACTCACAATCACTATACAGCTTCAAAATCATTACCTAGGTATATTTAATTGATTTGAATTCAGAATAATTCGAATTAATTAAAGTTTATCTTAAATAGTATTCATTACATCGTGGTTATAGAGAAGTATAATATATTATATCTAATAAATGATTGATTGAACTCCTTGTATTCTATATAATTGTAAATAACCTCAAGATTAGGAATTAATCAGTATTTGGAATTCAATCTACATTCAATTCCCTTTCCACATTTGATTTAAATTTATTTCTGATTTAATTTATAATATATAATACTCCGATTGAAAAATAATTCAATTCATCCATCAAATCAAGTTTATAGCTGATGATAAACGGAAGCTTTAACCCCCATTTTCCTCCTACGTAGGTGCAGTTTCGCAAATCTGCTACCTTCTCAAATAGGAAATTGGTGCGGGGTTAAGGAGGAGATCTTCCATTAACTGATACTGATGGCACTCTGTTTGATCTGTTCCCCTGAGTTACGGTACTTGAACTCAGGCTTTTTGAATCTCTCGGCGCTCCTCTATTCATGAGGCCTGCTATATGCAGGAGGGTTGCATTGTAAACTTCTACTTTGCTTCACTCTGCTCCTACAAGCACATGTCGAATCAAAGGGAACATTCAATTGACGTGGCAAAAACCCAGACCATTTTTCGATGGAATATTCATCCTCATGTTGATACTTAAGCGAATGGATGGATCTATACCCAAATTTGACCACAAAATGCACCACAAATTCGCCTCTCCCATCACATTCACAGCTCTCTATAATACCATAACCGAGTACATATTTGCCGATATAATTCCCATCGTAGCACCTCTCACGTTATATTCTGCGTTTGTGCAACCTGTGCACATATTTGCTTTTGCAATATTGCTGCTGTTATGTATCTGATCAGAACCGCTGAACATAGTGCTGATGATTTTGCGCAACCGTCTCTTACAAAAGCGCATAATTTGCACCATGAGAAATTTTGACATAAGGTTATTATGCAACTCGGCATTTTATGGATCGGCGCATGGCACTGACCAGCCACACATTGATAAAGAGAAGGAGAGCGAGCTCATAGTCCTCGGAGAAGATCAAAAGAAGAGGGAAAAAGTAGATATTATTGGCTCAGAGGATAGTTTTTGAAGCAGTCAGTTGGAGAAATGGTGAAGCCTGCTGGATATTCATTTTGTATTTCGCTAGATATTCATATACATTTTAAGCAATCCAGAAGATAAATCTTGAGTGATGATGCACTAGCATGTAGGGTTTAATCTAGCCACTTTACTACCTCGAGCTTAGCCAGATGCTCTTTCCCCCTGCATGCCTCCCAACCTCGTAACCATTTTAAGTTGTGCAAACAACATTCAAACGCCGTTTCCAACCAACGCCACCCAAGGATATAAGAGAAATACCATCAGAGAATCATTAAACTCATTGTTGGTCATTCATGTTGAGTTCATCAAACTCGTCCAGTAACTCATTCATATCAATCTTTGGTGTCTCATCTTCACCATCACTCGTCTCGGCCACACTCATAGCATCCGCTTCCTTCTGTGCCTGTTGAGCCTTGTACAAAGCAAGTGTCTGTCTGAGCTCAGGATCTTCCTCAACATCCTGTAAGAACATCTCATAATCTCTGTCCATTTTTTCTTGATCTTGCTTCCTGGGTAAGACTTCTCCTTCTTCTTTACCCATACGCTTGAGACGCCAGTTCCTGTTCTTGGACTTCTTCTTTCTTGCGTACAATTTCTTGACAAGCATCACATCAGGGATTTTCGATGCGTAGTTATTTGATTCTTCGAGGGCGTCGTATTGGGGGTTGTTGAAATTAGTACCAGTCATCATATATCCCATGACAGAGTCTCCAGGATGGACAACATTTCCGAGATGTGTTCTTGTGTAGAAGGTTTTGTCATTTGATCCGAGGTCAGATGCACGAGCAACGGTAGCCTCAGCAAGAGCCCATCGTCCCTTTGTAGGACCCAAGGGCTCAATGTCCATAATGATAAATTCCACCAATTCCTGAACATCAGCCAAAGGTTTGAATGGTGCACGCCAGTATATGGGGCAACTGATCTCCGCAGTCTGAAGGGATTGTGGGTCAAGGATATTGATAGAATTACCAATTCGGTAGCAAAGACCAAGAGGGGAAATGTTTCCAGCTGACTTTGCTAACTTGATTGGAAGCGCAACCAAATCATCCTTACAAATTGGCACCAACTCGACGGAAAAGGAGAACTTGTAGGATTTAGTAGATGTGTGAATATCCATGGAGATAAGTTCTTGAGACTTCTTTGCTGTAATAGGGGCAACCGAGTTCAAGAAGTCGACAAACTTTTCGGCCGAATTTCGTGCTGCGAAGAAAAAATCTAAACCATCCTTGACTTCCTTGATGTTGATAGTATCCTTGTGTGCGCCATGCTTCAAGATCAATTGTTCCAGGTACAAAAAGGTTCTCTTGTGGGGAACCTTTTGTCTAACTTGCACACAAGCTCTCCATGTATTCGCGGTATAAGATTTCGCACAATCGGGACATTGCTGATAGGCAACCACATATTCGACCTCGAATGACTGTTGCAAAACGACACCTTCAGATACCGAATCTTGTATAGTAAGCTTGACCTTGATTCTTCGAGAATGAGGTTCCGTCCAGATGAAACTTGCATCGATAATTCGAACTTTGTGTAAACCTCTGAGTTTCTTTAGGCAAAGGGCAAGGAGTTCTCGAGATTCGAGGGAGGCTTGGATCCAGGTTTGAGGTGGGAGTAACCATCTTTCGCAATCTCGACAGAAGTGTACAGTGGCTTCTCTTTGGATACCTTGCGATACATCGACGGTAAGTTTTACGCAATCATAGCAGAGAGCACCGGCGGAAGTCGTTCCATCGATAGGAGCGCCACAGTTGCAGCAGAGAATACTTCGAAACTATCAGCGATAGGAACTTGGAGAAATTTCCTGAAGAAGAAACTTACGTAGCACCAGTTTTTGGTTCTTGTGCCTGAAATCGGGAGGCAATAGATACCGGCGCGTCGTCAACATCCATAGCAGACATGATGGCGAGCTTTTTCTTATATTTTTTCTTTTGATGGTGGGATTTTGATAAAAGAGAAAAAAGTTGCCCCGCAGAGATAAACGATAGAGAATGACGCCGCTAGGGCACGCTAGTGTGGCTCGGATTAGTACGGATAGTCTTAGCGACCATAGTGGCAATTGATTTCTCAGCACTCAGGTCAGGCTCACAGGGATTATGAGCCATAATGAGTGATCGAAGGCAACTCAAAAGCCTGTCCTCCTGCAAATCAAAGTTTTCAAGTTTGAAGTTTGAAATCTGACCAGTGTTTGTTGGAACAAGCAGAGAGCTGGTTTCGAAAATACACGTGACTTGTATCAGCTGTAAATCACGTGTAGCATCAACACTCCTATGGGTAGGGTAGTTAGTGGAGAAGTCTGGGGATGGGATCCCTAAATATCTGGAATTTTGGTATTGATTTAGAAAGAAATTGCTTCTATAAGTGGCGAGTATGAGTGTAAACTATCTACCTCTCGATTCCCGATATATCCACTCTGTTATCACATTTCCCAAACAACATTCGTGATCGCTGAGCACAATTGCACCATCATTCACTGACCAATAACCACTCTAATATCTCAACGATCAACTACACCGAATTGCGTGTCATCTGTCTATGCTTGCGTATTGGGTGTCCCGAGCGTGCTACGATCTGGTTGTTATCTATGATTAGATCTTGCGGAGTGGTAATTGAGGAGCAAGCTCCAATAAGAACCTCGTGTGATGTCGTTATCAGGAATCGGCGGGTTGAATGTGGTAGGTTTGGCGAATGAATTATATTGAAGTTGCGAACATGCGTTATGCCCAGATGTATTTAAGTCCTTCAAATTCCGGTTTGGTTAAGAAAGTCCGAGTTACACTTCTACATCCAACAATTGAAATATTACAATAACAACCACTCAAACACAATGGCGCCTTCAGCAACAGAAACAGTTGCTCTTCCAACTCAAGTAAAGAAGTCTGTAACTGATAGATTCAGTCGCGATGAGCTTGGAAACTATAAAGAGCTTGCTCCCATGTCGTTCGATAAAGAAGCCGAAGAGAAAGGTCTTGGCAAATTTGCTGCTGCGTCGGTAGGTGTTCTCCATAGTTCATTGCGAGTATCGAAATGATTCTAATACCCAGAATCAGTATCCACATTATCTTCCAACCTGGGACGATATTACATACCCACCTCTTGAATCTTTTGAGCACAGAGACCATGGATTGGATGCCGATACAACATATCCAGAACTACTTGCACCGGGCGTTGAGGCAGTTGAACTGACACCCGCGATGGGCACAGAAATCAAAGGTGTACAATTAAGCAAGCTGAGCAATGCTGGCAAAGACCAATTGGCTCGATTTGTCGCAGAGAGAAAGGTCGTAGCTTTCAGAGATCAAGACTTTGCAGATCTACCGATCGCAGACGCTGTTAAATATGGCAGTTATTTCGGACGACCTCACATCCATCCCACATCAGGAGCCCCACTGAATCATCCTGAGGTTCACCTAGTACACAGAGCAGCTGGTGACAAAACAGCTGATAGCTTCTTCGAGACTCGAACAAATAGTGTAGCATGGCACTCCGATGTCACATATGAGAAGCAGCCACCGGGAACAACTTTCTTATATGTTCTTGACGTCCCAGAAACCGGAGGGGATACTCTCTTTGCTAATGGTGTCGAAGCATATAATCGTCTTAGTGATGCATTTAAAGAACGTCTGCATGGACTTTCTGCGACACATTCAGGTATTGAGCAAGTGAACGCCTCTCGCTATAGGAATGGCATTGCTCGCAGGGAGCCTGTCGTGAACGTTCATCCTATTATCCGAACGCATCCTGTAACCGGAGAAAAAGCGTTGTATGTTAACAAACAATGTAAGTATACGCGATCTCCACTCAGTGTGTTCATCACTGACCTGTCTTCAAGTCACTCGAAAAATCGTAGGGTTGAAACAAGAAGAAAGCGATGTACTATTGGTAATGTCCTCCCCAATGTTTGCAATATATCGACGATTATCTAACCGTTTCGTAGAATTTCCTGTATGACCACATTGCACTAGGTGCCGACTTTCACGTAAGAGTCAAGTGGGCACCAAAAACTGTAGTTGTTTGGGATAACAGAGTGGCGACCCATACCGCTCTTGTTGATTGGTCGGGTGGAGCACGCAGACATCTCGCGCGTATCACACCACAAGCTGAAGCACCATACGAGACGCCTTTCAAGGCATCATAATGTGCACAAATATCTTGTAGTTGCGATGATCGTAATAAACAATTTAATTAAAAGTTCATGAATGAATCTTTCAACGAGGGCAGTGAGTCATATGTGATGTAAAATTGTGATGATAAGTTCAACATAGAGTTGTTGATTAATCATAAGAATGTCGGTATGATGTCGAGTTTCTTTCTGTCTTCCTCCTCCTGTTTTCTTCTGAGTTTCGCCTGTGCAATTCGTCTTGCTATCCTATCTTGAGTGGTAGATAAATGAGAGGACGAATCAGCAATCGGAGCTTTGGTAGATTTATAAATATTGGCCTCAATAGTCACAGGGGTCCTCGAGCATTGTAGCTTACTGGGAGTTGCTGTAGTTGATGTTTTCGGTAATTTGGCTTCTGACTTTGTATCAACAGCATCTTTCCCATCAATTGGTCTAGAGAATGAGAATTTTGGAGCCGGAATAGGTGCATCCAGATCATCATCGTCTTCGGACGCTGTAGCATCTAGATCCAGATCCACAGCTTGAGTCTTACTTTTGATAGTCAGAGAGGACGCGCGCTGTGAAGTTTTAAATTTAGTGGGATTGCGAAATCCCGCAGCTGCTCTTGTAGTTTTGGTTGGAGAAGAAATGTTCATGAGTGATATACCTCGTTTCTTCGGACTTGTCATCAGACCATAAAGTGATGTTCCGACAAAGGGCAAAGTTTCTTCGTCACTATCACCAGAAAGGCCATCTTCCTTTTTGCCAACTAATTTCTCTAGAACGTTTCGCTGATTTTTCGACCTTTCAACTTCTTCGGCTTTACGCCTTGTTGCATCTGGCATTCTACCAACCACAGGCCTTGAAATCGAATTAATAGCATCAGCATTTCGTGTTTTGGCCATTTTTCCAAGTCTTTTATATTCGGCTGTGTGTAGATGTACAGTGAACGACTTTGCAACTGTCAAAAATTCGTCTTCAACAATACGATATTTATCATCATGCTCTCGACCTTCCTCCATGAAACTATTAACGGGTTAGCCATAAACGCATAGATTATCAAATCGAACAAACCTTTCAGTGGGAGGTTCTGGCGGAGGCGATGTAGATGGTTCACGACCTTGATCAAAATCAGAAAGAGAATCAGAGCACTGCTTATAAGAGTACAAACTATGGTTTATGGCTTTGATCTGCTTGGGAGGATGGTCGGAATTATAATCGCTGTCAGAAGGAGAAGCTTCAACACGAGGGCGCTTTGTAGATCTGCCGATAGATGCAATGGTTTTGTTTGGAAGAGTTAGTGTAGTCGAACCATTCTTTTTCTTCCATGGAAGGGTCCTCATGATTCGATGAGAATCCAAATACTTGACGTGGGAGCAAGCCTTGAAATTAGAGGTGCTGCCCGTTGGTGATTACGGTGAATAGACAAGACAAGTGGAAGACCGGGATTTTGTACAAGATAATAAATTCAAAGTAAACGTGAATAATATTAGGTATACGATTATTTCATTACCGACAATGGCTTGTTGTATAAATTGGTCCTTTGTTCAAAAATGTAGTAAGGCCATCAACAATATGGCGGGAATGGAATCTGCTTGTATTCGGTAGAATTCGACAAGCAACAAGTGAATGGTTGATTCCTCCTGGGTGTTTCAATCACTTTCAACTTTGAACCTTCAGCCGGAAAAATGGCCGAGCTGGTCAAGTGGTTTTCGTAATGAAAGTAATTCTTTTGTATGGAGTGCAGCGGCGTGACTGAAGAACAGTACAACGAAATGCTCTGTCTATTCTCGATAGTCGGTATTATTGCTCTTTGATATCATCAAGCAACATCAGAGTGTCCAGTGGATGGGATGTCATGAAGTCGTCCGTGTGCCCTCACCGTCAACCTTCAGCGCGGCGTTTCCTGGACGCAGAAAACTTTTTACTGGTAGAAAGACTTTGGGTGACCAAACCAAAGCTTCAGCAGACACTGAGTTGGGTGTAGCGGAATCGTCTGAAGAGTGTTGTAAGATGAGACGATAATGCAATGCGCCCTATCGTCAAGGAATACATTCACCACGAGTGCTTTCTTGATGATAGACCCTTGTCGAGCCTTCAATGGCCAATAACTAGATCACTGTCTTAAGTTCTTCGATCGCAGTTCTGGTGGTCCTCAAATGAAAGACAAATCACTTGATGCAGCCCAATGCGTTCCGTCTGTCACAGCGCACGAAGAAGACTGCCGCAAAGAGAAAAGGCAGTGATATCTGAACTGGGGAGGAAGAGTTAAAGTCAACTAGCTTGACAGTTCTCGTAGATCTTCCGCAACTCAACTTTTATTTAACATCAGCTATAGTCGTTTGATTGCTCTCTTCCAATATGGAATATCTGAGACGTCTCTTCCCTGTGATAAGGAAACCGTGATTCTAATATTGACGCGTTTCACCGCCATGATTCATCCGATTTTTCTGGATGACGGTATCACGTGCCTTGTCTGAGCCAGGGACCCACTTTTACAGGGCGCAACTCTCCAGAATTGGACAGAAGCTTCGATGACTGTTCTAGAGCTCAGGGCATATTCATATCCTGTAGCCTACACTCTATCCTTCGAGCCCTTCACTTGACAGGGTACCAATAAAGGAGAAACCGCAATCAAAAGTCAATTTGACACGTATAAGAATAAGAAAGACATAAACCATACATAGGTACTTGACTCTCGTACCAGTTCTACACTGCACTTCTTCTCCATTTTCTTCGTTTGTTTATATATCAGCAATTCAATGTTCAGACCTCAGTTCGATATTGAAAGTCGTCCAAGGACAAAATAGGAGAGGAATATCATGTCTTCTACTACTGGCAACAAAAGAACCTTCTCTAGTGACGAGGAGACAACGGATGAAAAGTCTCAATATGATTCATCCACCGAGGATATACACCTTCCTCCCCAATCTCCTTCTACAGCTCTGACGAGATTTGGCGATGTACACTTGCCAATTGGACAATCAAACAACCAGCAATCCACTCTTTTTTACCTCTCCTTAATTGAGGCAAGATGTAAAGCACAAGCTTTGACCACCTTGAACTCTGGTCGTGGTCCCGATGATCAATTGCCAGAGAATCATCCAGATATCCAACGTTTAGCTCAAGTGCTCTTTAGCGATATGGCGGGTGAGCTTCGCAGGTCAGGCGTACTCCCCAGAGCAGACGAGCTTGCAGGTCGGCAATTTGCAACTCTACGCGAGGGCTATCTCTCAACATTCGATTCTATCCTCTCTCAAAGTGCATTGCAGCGTGTACAGACTTCGACCTTTAGCCAAAACTCCATCCTTCCATTAACGTCTAATTCGTCGATCGGAATGTCCTATTTCGACCAGCCGCAAAATCTCAATCTTACAATGATCCCCAAGAACCCTTTCTCGTCAGCTGCTTTGACCGCAAATCCTTTTCAATATAGGTCAATTTACAACAGAGAATGGGAGCAGATTAGCTTGCTAGGCAAAGGAGGATTTGGCGCAGTTTATAAAGTGAAACACAGAGTTGATGACCTAGAATGCGCTATCAAGAAGGTGAGTAAGAATAATTCATGCCCCTTGCATCTAGCATTTGTCGTTGTTCGAGTGTTGAGAATCTCAATTTTATTGACCATCTCGATCGATTCAAGTTGCTAAGAAGAATCTTCTCTTGCTGACTTCCTGTAGGTCATCATTACACCAGACCAGCTACGCAAGGTTGACACAGCGGCACTATTGTCTGAGGTGAAAGCACTGGCTGAACACAAACACCCCAATATTGTCAACTACTATGGCTGCTGGATTGAGATGGGAAATGTAATTGTTACATCAACACGGCGTTTGATGGATGCTGAGGATGAATCAAGCTATCTCTCAATGTCTATGAGTGAGGTGGAACAATCAGAAGATGAACTTGGAATGCAGCAAGGCCCCACTTTCGGCATGAATGACTTGCGTTTGGACATGGAGAAAGAACTTGAGAAAGACAACAGAAGACGGGGTAAAACTAGCAGCGACCAGGTGCTCACAAATAGTGGTGATGGTGGTGTCGTTTTTGATGTTTCAAATGCAACCGCGACAAGATCCAGCGGGAAGTCGTCAGAGGAAAGCGAAGATGAAGAGGAAGAATATGAAAGTAACAACAATGGCAATACCATCACTCCACAGGACAATAGAGCTCGGATTTTATACATCCGATTTACTGTATATCCTCTTACATTGGAGGAATATATCTCAACAGACACACCACAACCAGGTCACGAGTTTCCTATCCGTCACTGCTTTCATACACTTCCCACAATTCGAATACTAGGTGCTATTCTCAATGGAGTCCAATATCTTCACGCAAAACGCCTGATCCATAGAGATCTGAAGCCCGCCAATATATTCCTATGCGCCAAGAAGGACCTGGAAGCATTCGTTCCCTCGCACGACCTAATAGATGTCAGCAGAAGCGCCTGTCCAACGTGTACTGGGTCTGCTGATCAAAACAAAGCTTATATTACGCCGTGCATTGGCGATCTTGGACTTGCAGTCAAACTTGCTGAAACTACGGCTACTCCTGCTGCTGGACTGTCTACAAGAGCTATAGAGCTTAATCCCTCAACACAGCTTTCTCGTCTCGGGTCAAAGCAAGCAGGCACAAAGCTTTATATGCCTCCAGGAAAGTCCACTGTTGTCTGTCCTAAATTGGACGTTTATGCCTTGGGAATTATAGCGTTTGAGCTAATCACCCCCTTTACTACCCGCACCGAACGTCACATTGTATTGAATAATATCAAATGTGGTAAATATCCGGCAGGATTTGAGAATCATGAGATGGCAGAGGGAATTAAAGGGATGCTAGCTGAGAGGAGATCTGATAGGTGGGATTGTGAAATGGTTAGGAGATGGATTGAGGGGTTTGAATAGTCCGGATATAACCTGGCAGCTGGAACCTTCAACTGTTCAATACGATTGGAAAGTTGATATTTTTTGAGATTCTGGATTCAGTCTGAATATTAAGAGCTTTTCAAACAATGAAAACTCGCATCAAAATCGAAAACGCTGCCTCTAGAGAAGGTGATGAGATTGGGGGAGTCATTTTGAGAGTAGTACTATACCCGGCTTAGGTTGTTAGGAATCGAAAGGATTTACATTTTACTTGCGCACATTTTTCACTTCGTTTATCAAATTTAACTCCCAATCATATATCATTCCGCAAAGAGGCCAGCTTCTTACGACAGAAATACACTAGGTAGATGCGTTCTTCAACGTGCTTCAATATGGATATAGCTACAGCAGCTTCAATTCAAGTGAATTGAGAAACCTGAACTTGGCAAATCGATTTCAAAGAATGGGTCACTTCCATTCTGACCGTTCCAGATGATTTTATACGTGAATGGAGAAAGGAACTGAAATACTGTGTAATCACTAGCTCACTGTCGTTCCTTCCTCCTTTGATTGACTAAGTGACTAGAATGTACACATTTTCTAGACAGAATCTTAACTATGAGTAGGTACTTTTCGTTCATTTTCACAGAGCATCTAGTGCCGAACAATATCGAGTTTTTTCAGTATGTCTCTAAATCCAATAGCCCTACCAACCTGAGCGTTTCCGAGTGTCTAACCTTATTCATATCGCACCTCCTTCTCTGTGCTCGTACTGGTACATTTTACCATAATATCAGGCAAGAACGCAATTCATTATGGGCAGGTAACCTCAAGTTTAATTCTCCCAGTGGTCTCTTAACATCATGACAACCTCAGAACTTGTCAAAGTTCAAATTTTTTGGAATCATTTTTGCTATTCTCTTACTTCTCAAACTGTGATGCAGATTCGAGATATCTTCAAAATTCATTGGTACAGCAGCATATTCTGATATCGAAATTTAATATTGCGACAACGGAAGTAATTATCATCATGTTAAGACATCCCTTCTCAAAAGACCTTCCATCGAAGCCTTCTCATACACTACCAGATACCCTTCAACACGAGAAAGCTCGGAACGATAGGTCTATGAGACGCACCAACTCTTTGTTCACAAAAGAAACATCCACCATGCTTCGTCACTGGCAATCCCGACCGAGAACTTCTACAGATGCTGTTCTTGACGACCATCCAGAAATATCTGTCACGAAAGTGGTCGTTTCAAAGTTTCCGGGAATTCCAGACACTTATGGAAATATCAAAGTTGTTATCTTACAACCCAAAACCGCCACATCTTTGAACCTTAGACCGGCAATATATTTCATTCATGGTGACCCTTTCATGGCTGATGGACCCCTTGACGGTGTATCCGGCTTCTTCGATCTGATCAAACAACTTGACCTTGTACTACTGACAATCGATTATCGCCTTTTGGACAAGCATTGGTGCCCCACTCCACTAACAGATTGCTATCGTGGTCTTCAATATGTTTTCAGAGAGGCCAAAAATTTGCGCATTGATCCTACGAAGATAATGATAGCTGGACAGTTTTTAGGCGGAGGACTTGCTGCCGCAACTGCAATCATGGCCCGTGATAGAGTAGATATGGGACTACATGGAGGGGGAAAGTTAATGGCACAATGCTTAATCTGTCCTGTAATCGATGATCGCTTGGTTATAGAAACAAAACAAAATTCCGAGGACGAAGGGAAGTTCTGGACCTCTAAAGTCTGGAAGAAAACTGTATGGGATTATCATGTGCAGGACATTTACAGCATTCCAGACTATGGTCCCGACCACCAGCTTGTAGCAGACGCTGACCCGAGCGACAAAAGAATTCTTTCAGAAGCCCTTCGGAAAGAAAAACTTTGGAGAGAACATCATCGGTCACAGCATCTGAGATATGTAACACCAGCCTGTGCACCAGATTTGTATGATTTACCACCAACATGGATTGATGTCGGCAGGGAGGAAGTGTTTAGGGGCCAAGTCATGAAATTTGCGACGAGATTGATGGACGCGGGGAATGAAACGGAGTTGCATATTCTGAAGGGGGACCGTAGTGATTTTGATAGTTTACACAGACCCCAGACTAAAATCTCTAAAGCCTATGTGAGTTTGAGGTTGGATTGGGTGAGAAAAGCATTCAAAAACAGTAGGTAATGCACCTCTTTCATGGGGTCATAAAGAATGAACTATATTTACTCAACCTCAAATACCGTTCAACAATATTTGCAAGCATCAACAGCTGATAAAAAGACACAATCCCGCTCCCCTCCGCCAAGATATCAAAAAGTACATCACCACATGTCGTCTCCCCGCTCCTACCACGATCCCCGCAATTCCAGCCCCCACGGCGATGCTTTCCCAAAGGAGAAATTGCCCCCGGACTCCACGTCTAAACCATGTTCTTTCACTCACACACATATAATATCTGCACATGCAATGTGATAGTGACTACGACTGTGATCGGCAAATAATAAACAAATGAAGAATTCCACGGAGTAAGATTCCGATTCCTGCACTCCGCTATCACATCTTATGTTCCGTGGTTGCGTGCGGTTCGTGCATCTTCTCGGGAAATTTTTGCTGATGGGGGTGGGTGGTCAGGGGGTGGGATTCTGGAACCGTGGTGCCGAGAGCTGAGGTTGTATTGCATTTTGTGGGTGAGAATTGTGCAATGTTAGATTTGATTGAGGTAATGATGAGGAAAGGAGGTTGATGAATTAATGAACTTTATAAATTCTGTCATCACATGCAATTTAGATGATGTATTGACCGTTAGATCTCCCGGCAATTTGAAGTTTAATTCGCTATCAACGTGGTGATGTTTTTCTTCACCTACCTTTCAAGACGAGTCATCGTCGCCGACTCTTCAAAAGTAGTGGAAAAGTGACGAGAGCGGCAAAGATCATTAACCCAATACTATTCTTTCCGCTAGCCGACAACCCAATTTTTGAAGCATTCGTGGAAAGCCCGCGGCAAAATCTTACACGAGGGGTATTGGTGAGAATGCCCATAGCACGTTTACGGGAAATGAAACTTCACCCCGAAGAAGTACTATAAGTTAACCTATACTAGGTTTCTTTCAAATTCACTTGTCTATACCGAGGCAAGAAGTCCGAAGTACGATGAGTAGTTTTGAAGTAACATGGAATAATATCATGGCAAGAAATCCCCAATATCCTCGCCGATTCCGTTCCCGTTCCCGTTCCCGTTCCCGTTCCATGAATAAATAGTATATAGCGGAAACGGAAGTCAATTCATTATTCCTAGAAAATTGAGCCAGTAGAGTCAAGAGTGAGATCTTTTATTGCACATCTGGAATTCTCAGCTTTGAAATCCATCTTGTAGCAGTGAATTGGGATCTTCTCATCATGCGCAGAAATGAAAATGTGATGTATGAAGTATATCACTTGTAGAGAGTACATTGTAGGTACGCGTGTACTATATCATTGACTCGCTCTCTGCTGTGCATTGCCTTTCCTCCCTTGAGTCTCACACTTGTATAAGAGACTCGTACTTGGAGGTGCGCGGTCGAGTAGAGTTTTGACTTGATAATTATGTAGCACCTACTAAAATGATCCTGCAGAATTCGCAAACGTGATACGCTCCGATGCTCTCAATACGCCGTCATCGCTGAGAGCCTCGACACTTTGTGGTACCTTCATTCTATCTTCACCTCCCGTCGCAGTCGCAGCAAGCCGAGCGATTCCCCACGGGGAAGGAAACATGAATCTACCCGTAATTTCCATAGGGATATTGGTGGCACTCTATCAATTATAAATCCAAAGCCCTGTTCCTTTCCCGTGAAGACGGTTATGCTTCGTGGATCGATCATCTATGCACATGCCAAGTGGACAGGAAAGAAAAGGCTGATCACATACCGTGTACACATACCGCCCCTCGAAATTATCTCTCGTATACCGCCCTTTTCCCGTTATCATCTCGTCCGGCCTGAAAGAATTGCTGATTTCTCGATATTGCTTTAAATCCACGTGGCGAGCGCGGGAACACATCCATATTCTATCGTCATCAAATTTCCATTTACGTCCTCACCACGTGGAGTCTTCGTACAGGACAGGGTAAGCATCCCTTCTTTTGCTTCTTTCCGTTCGCAAACAGTTTAGCCTTTGATCGGTTTCAATGCAAGATCGTTCGTTAGTTCAGCTTGCTGTTTTGGATGTTATGCAGCACAATAGTAGTCTAGGCCAACACTTTGCCAACAGACGCGTACATGAAATTGTGATCAACCCGACGACCAGGAACCGAAATTCGGCTTCATGCAGCAAGCCAAGGGTAAAAAGATCAAATAGGGATCCAGAACCGTGGTTGGTAAGATGTTGCTGTGGTACAAGGATGTAAGGCCCTGTTACCTGTCCATGCATGGAAGAAAAAACACAAATAGAACCAAAGATGGAAAGTAAGCCTTCTGAGTTTTATAGTCTTTGTTGGTAAGTATCAATACAGTCATATTAAGAAGAAGTGTTATTGCAACAACTAGATCATGCAACAAGAAGATCAAAAAATAGCAGCTGATGGAAATCAACGAGATCAGCTGAAAACGAAAATCGATATATGTCAATTCTTGGCAAATTTACCAGAGGTATTTGGAGGCCCGGATGGTGCCGACCGACTTTTTCAAAAATTAAAAGTCTTGTGCGAGGCAGTAGGCCATGCAGGTAGCCATATGGGAAATTGCACGGAGTTTCCCTTGGTGGCGTAGTAATCGAAGTACCTTAAGAAGGCGCGCTTAGTTGGATGGGCTACGCATCACACAGGAAATAAAGATAGAGAGGAAAGAGGAGCTTAAAATAATTGAAAACTGTCAGCCAAAAGTTTGGTGGCGCAATAGAGACTGATATTTGGTCTGACTGAAGGTTATGTGAGCTTTATTAGTTTGGTATCGTGGCTCCATCTGATTCATTGGACCACTCGTCAACGTTGTTGTGTATGGTGTGGTGTCCGTCCAGTGATTCGGTGCCGCAAGCGACGAGTATAG